TTATAGACTGTTTATATAAATGTTTTTCTTATAGACTGTTTATATAAATGTTTTTCTTATAGACTCTTTATACAAACCGGAAGTGTAGTTTCGCGTCTGTTGACGGAAGCCGGTGAGGGGCGGAGTCTCAGTGCAGCGACAGAGGTGGATCATCGGATCATCCGCAACAAACAGGTTCGATTCTTCCTCACGTTTCATTTCACGTGTTTAATGGAACAGGAATAATTCTCCTTCTTCTCTTTCTCTGTATCTTCTGTGTTCTCTTCATTATATGAATTCTATTCATCCTCTTCATTCTCGTTATTCTCTTCATTCCATTTATTCTGTGTATCATCTTCATCAGCTTCATCCTCTTCATCCTCGTCCCTCCTCTTCCTCCAGCCTCGCATCTTTCCATCGGGCGTGTTTTAAATGCGGTGAGCGCCCGGTGAACCGGAGAACAGGTCCGGTGCTGTGTGTGTGTGTGTCCGGGCGGAGGGAGGCTGGTCCGGGCCTGTAGCTCAGCCATCTTCCCCTCGTCCGCTCCGAGAACCGCGACATTAAACGCAGCATCACGCCTCGTGTGTGTGTGTGTGTGTGTGTGTGTGTGTGTGTGTGTGAGGTGTCTGGTTCCTCTGATGCTGAAACAAAGAAAACACAGTTTGTGTTCCATGATTTTTTTACATTAAAATATTAAACTCTGATATAAAATATAAAATCAAATCAAATTTAAAGAGACAGAATCAATGAAGAGAATGAAACTCAGTGTTTCTGTTCAGCAGCAGCTGCTTCGTTAACAATGACAGGTTCATACTGAACCTCTGGTTCTGTTATAAAGCTTCTATTCTCTGTGTCGGCTCCGACAGAAGAAGCTCCACCATCACACACTGTTTAAAGCTGCAGCTGAAACCTGTCTTCTGTGTAATGACCAGCAGGGGGCGACTCCTCTGGCAGTTTCTATAGAAGTCTATAGAGAATGACTCCTCTCGTGCATCTGACGATCACTGAGTGTTGACACATGAGCCACTCACATGATGTTTCTCTCTTCACTCAGGACATGTCTGTGAAGATGGAAATGGATATCAGTGGAGTGTCCAGGACACGTGTCTCCATTTGTCCTGCAGCTGAGATCAAGGCCACATTAAAGCCAGAGGCAGAGCGACCTCGCTGCGCCTCCACGCCATGCTCCCCCATCAGAGGAACTGTAGCGGGATACCAGATCCTACACATGGACTCAAACTACCTGGTGGGCTTCACCACCGGCGAGGAGCTGCTCAAACTGGCCCACGAGTGGTCGGAAGGCGCTCCAGAGAAGAGCTCTGTGTCGGAAGCTGTGACCAGCCCCACCAAGAGCACCGCCCCCAAGTCTGGGGACTTGGGCGTCCACCGGTCGTCACGAATCTTCAAAGGGAAAAGCCGCTACTATCAACCCTACGACATCCCCGCTGCCAACGGGCGGAGACGGAGGCGCATGCCCAGCTCGAGCGACACCTTCCTCAGGTCCCTGGCTCATGGGGAACCTGGGAGGAGCCTGCACGCTCCGCTACCTCTCTGTCTGCTCAAAGGCACGGGGGCTCAGTCCAAGTCTCTGGACTACCTCAACCTGGACAAAATCAGTATCAAAGAGTCCTCGGACACTGAGGTGCTGCAGTACCAGCTGCAGCACCTCACCCTGCGAGGGGAGCGCGTGTTCACCCGCAACAAGACATGAAAGCACAGCGGAGGCTTTTTTTCAGGCGTCCTCCGCCCTGCAGGGTTTTAGGTGCTATTTCCAGCTCGGTTTGTTTGTACTCAGATTATTAACAGTTCTTTAAGAAGTCTGATAATCTTGTTATATTATTAACGGGGGGGTTTTACCTTGTGGCATAACGTTGTGAAGAAAATCCTTCAATTAGCCCTCACATTGTAATGAGGTTTAAAAAATGTGAATCATATAAACTTAGCAATAACTAGTGAACCTATTTATTGACCGTGTTGTGTGTTTGTGGTCGGTGACGCACTCGGCTGAGAAAAGCACATTTCACACAGTATCAGCTTTAAACTGCACCGTTCTTATCAGGCCAGTCAGAGTTTCTCTGGAGACTCGTGTCGATGGAAGTTTTGTGATTTTCTCTTAATGCAGACGAGTGTGAATTTAGCAGGATGATCGTTTTAGTATGTTGCTAATTTATTTATTGCTCTTTTATGCTGTTGGTTAATATCAGTGTGATTTCAAACCTTTTATTCATCATAAAATTGGCAAGTGGAAAAAAACTGAGTGATGCTCCAGTTAAATCTGTTCAGTGAAGGTGAGGTAATTAAAGTACGAGTCGAATACTAATACATGACGTGTGTACATTTAAAGATCTATAATTATTCCCTCTGTCCACGTGTTCTAGTGACTTTTTAAAATATGTCGCTCTGCTGTCTCGAGTCGATAGTTAGCATCAGACAGATCATTTTACATCACGTCATCAGCTCCTGTGACCACGAGTCCGTTTTCTAATTCGTCTCAATCCGTCTTCTGAGACTGAATTAAATATTTGATCACAAAAAGACGACTGTGGACTTTTCCCTTTGTGTCTGACAGCTGGTCACTGGAGGCGTGGCCAGGGCCACAGGCTTGTCTGTTCAGTCAGTTACTCTGTGACACAGACACTGAACTCACTGTCAGTGATGACGTGTCATGGAGTCTGGCGTCACACATACACTCACGCATCATGGCCGCCCCGTGCGTCCTGCGTCTTTTCCAACAGAATGAATCCCCACGTGTGGCTGCAGAGGGCGCTGTTGATCAGTCAGTTACATAGAGAGGCTTTAAGTTAGACCTTGAAAAACACTCTGACCTGAGAGTTGGATGTTGCAGAGTGATGCTTCACAGTTACCATGGTGATGCTTCCTCTCCACACGCAGACTCGGAGTATCACTTCAGTGTTTTTCTGCTCCTGTTTACTGGCTGGTTGGAAACATGTCGGCTTTAGAAAACCATGATCTCTGGTTTTTTACATTGTCTTTTTACTGAGTGTGTGTGTTCCCCTTACAGCCCGATGCCTCTACAGCAGGAAACCTGTTTCTGCACCTGATTGCACTGTTGGACGTCGACTGGAAACGTCAGTGCACCTTGATCTCATCACCACGCGCCACCAGCTGGGTGTTCACAGTCAACGCTGCAATATTGTACATAAAGAAGCCATGTGAACGCACCTACAGTTGTGTGAACAGTGTGTTCAGCCCCTGAGCTTCACACTGGCTCTGTTGCACTAAAGCATTAGAAAGTTCTTTTGTCTCTATCAAGAATTTCAAATAGAAAAACTGAACAGTTTGTTATCGCAGCTCAGAATCTGATTTTACCTGCAAGAGGCAGAAATGTTCAATCCAGTAAAGACGGACGACGTCACGGCTCAGTTAAACCAACTCAGCCCATCTGCCCCCCTGAGTAGACGTTAAATAAATGTTTCACAAAATAGTTTTTGTCATTTTAGTAATGACGGTAGAGTAAGTCAAAACAGAAAGATCTAGATTGTGTTCAACTTATCTTTTCTATTTATTGGACTAATTGGTTCTAAATCAGCACGTTTGTGTTTCCCCATCATAAATCTTTAATATAAATTCAGTCTTTTTAGACGTCGAACAGATAAAATGATTCTTTCATCAGTTCTATTTTCAGACACGTTGAAGCTTTGGGGCTGAACTGACTGTTTCACTGTGTTCTGTATGTAAAGTCACTCTTATGCACTTCGATTGATTCCTGAAGCCAAACTCAACATGTACGCTTGATGTTAACCAATGACTGTTAAGATTATTAAAGCTTCTTTCAAACACATCTTCATCCACTTTGACTTTGACTAAATATGAACTTTGATATTGATAATCATTTAACGTGAGTGCAGCTCAACCACATGAACTAACTGAATCAATTCATCAGCAGAACATTTTGTTATTGATCTGTTCATACTTCATTCTGTCTGTAATCCACAGAGTGAACGTGGACCACACGACAGCTCCCACGTGTGAAGCCAAAGTATTTCATTCGCCCCCTGGTGTCTGGCTGCAGTATAAGCCCCTCCTCTTCCATGTTAGCAGATGGGACGGGGAACCAAACTAAAAATAAATGTAGAAGTTAAATAAAGGTCGTTCTTATCTCACTGATGTTTGTTCAAGTGTTTCCGATCAGTTTGGTTTTCATTCGGCCCGTATGAAACATATATAGAAACTGAGGTAGACCCAGAACTCGCTGAAGGGACGACATTTCCCATCGGACCTCGGGATGAACCAGGAGGAGGAGCAACACGTCACCAGGAAGTGGAAGATCCGGATGAACCTGCCGACATCGAGACCCGACCTCAGATATGAGGAGGAAGATGGATGAATGTATTTGAGACGGAGGATTTGATTGTAGAATTTATTTGATAATTATATTTGTGTGACAGAAGATAACAACAGTATCAAAAGCTCGTGTTCTCAAGTGAGTCTCCAGAATCAGTATAAAAACAACCTGTGGCTGGTTAAAGAAAGTGACAGGACAAGAGGACTGAAGAAAGAAACATGGAACAGAAGAAGACACGATGGTAAATATACATCAAGTAAAAAGGAAATGAACATAAAATAAGGTTCTGAGATAAAGTCTGAAAAAGAGCAAACCTCCAAATTCAAGTTGAACAGAAAACAGGAGGAAAACTAAAGTGCAAAATATACAGCATCATGTTTTCTCACTACGACTGAGGCCACGCCCACGTGACGTCTGAATCTCCGCAGCAGCAGAATCTGATCCAGGAGCAGCAGCTTGAGTCCAGACTGAAGCCAGACCTGCTCACATCCTGGTTTCCTCTGGTGGTCGGTTCATGTAATCCTGAAGAGCCTGATGTAACGGCAGCCACTTCTTCACTGAAGCTCTGATCGCAAGGATCCACCTGGAGAGAACATCACGCATGAACTTCAGCTCACGAGCTGTTTCAGACCTGAACTGAACCCCACGTGTTCCTGATATGTTCCTGACGTGTTCCTGACGTGTTCCTGACGTGTTCCTGACGTGTTCCTGAAACGATCCTGATATGTTCCTGACGTGTGTCTGACACGTTCCTGACATGTTCCTGGTGTGTTCCTGACGTGTTCCTGATATGTTCCTGATATGTTCCTGACGTGTGCCTGACGTGTTCCTGGTGTGTTCCTGACGTGTTCCTGACGTGTGCCTGACACGTTCCTGATATGTTCCTGATATGTTCCTGACGTGTGCCTGACGTGT